AAGACAGCTACGCTTAAGGGTTTAACAGGATGAGAAGGTTCATGCTCCAACACGCGTGTAGTACAATTAAAAAAACATTAGGCCCTTGAGCTGACACGGGGGGCCGTGAGAGGGAAGGATGGAGGGGAGGTGGTGTTAAATAAAACATCAAACGCTCCTATTTGGAATCAAACAGAACCTAAAGATCAACACAATGGAGCTGTGAAGGAGAAATGGTCTAGATGTGTGAGACAGAGCAACGCTAAATGGTTTGGGGTATAAGATTGAACTGTAGCATGTTAAACGGGTTCTTTCACTCTCTGTCTCATGCACAAACACAGACAGACATAAACAGAGACGCAGACAAACACACACACATGCATGCTCTTTCCATTCCGTTGCCATGGAGACTGCTGCATGCCCTGGAGATTTGAAGCCAGGAGGAGGGATCCCCACCTTGTGTTGATATACCTGGCAGTAAACCGAGACAGTGCTTACAAACGAGAGCTGAGGTGACACAAAGAACTCAAGAAGGGAGAAACCGCCAAAGAAAAAAAAGAACACAAGAAACTAAGAGGAACAAGAAACAGGAGACGGTGCTACAGGGATGGAACGTGATTCCAGACACGATTCTGTCCTACCCCGTTCCCGACAACAGACATAGTTTCCTATGTAAAAAAATAATACTAAAAATAAAAAACGCACACGATACTTCACCTCAAACAGATATTATCAAACATTAAAAACAAATAACAGTCCAAACACGACAATGCAAACACTGAACAACAAAACAAACTACAAAAACAACAAAACAGCCACGAGAGTAGATGAGGAGTGGCTCATGAAACACTTTAGACTAATCCTGCTTATCCACAGGTTTCACTATATGATGCGAAGCAACGTCAACAGCTCAGTCTTCTGATACATGATACCAAGGGTTTTTCTTACATGCCTAGTTATCACAAAAGTGCACAGATCACTGTGTTTGCGTGTGAGTATGAGTGAGAATGTGATGTAACCACAGAAATCAGAGAACCAGCCTCCCACCAGGCACCCACCCACAGTCCAGCTGAGGCAGACTGTTGTGTGGCTCTATTTCAGACTTGGCCACAACAAAACGTACACAATCGGTCCCTACACCTCCGCCCTGGCCGACTCAACCTCCACTGGGACAAAGGCTGAACTCCCTCACCCTAACCCTTCCACACACACACACACACACACACACAATTAAATTAGTTTCCCATGACAGTGGCAAGCATAAAACTACAAATGAGTCCCAGAAGCTCTCCTCTTGCTTGTGCCACAATAAACATTAAAAAGCATTAGCCAAAAGAGCTAACATACAAACACTATGCAAACAGCTCTTAACAGCTCTTTTCTGGTTTGCTTTTGGCTGCACAGAGGGCTTGAGCTGATTGACAATAGGATAGTCAACTTCTGTTTCCATTTATCATGATTGTCAACCAAGCTGGACAATTTAAATGTCCAAAAACACATCGTCCATGGCTTTAAGATGCACAAAAGACATGCCTGTCTAAAAATTTTTGGGAGGTGGACCATGCTGGGCTCCAGCATTACGCAATTGCCAATCATGTTGGACAATTTAAATGTCCCAGGCATAGGCACAGTAACAGCAGCCTTTAGCCTGCATCACACTATTAAGCTTTAGCAGTTTTATCATTTTAACAAGAAGTGTTTATAGGCTGTAAAGGCAACAATTATGAAACCTACAGCAAAACTACCAAACAATATAAAAACTATTAACCAATACCAAGAACTCCAAACCAAACAAGAACAAAGTTTTTGTAATTAGAAAGCATGTTTGTTTTCACCGGTTTAAGCAGGCAGGGTAGGTAGTGTGGTGTTACCACATAACCTGTCATGATGAAACAGGCTGGTGGAGAAAGGGGCCGCAGATATCGATTAGGCGTTCCTCAATCCGTCAGTAGGAAGAAGCCCGCAGTCCATATTTAGAGCTCCTTTTTCTGTGTGCACTGAAAATAGGTTCAGATAATGTGTTTTTATTTATTTATTTTTTTTTTGAAAAACGACTTGCCTACTCTCCCTCACACACACACACACACACACACACACACACACACACAATAATATCAATTGTTGAAGGCTAGGAGGTGCATTCAGAAGACGGTATAGTTGTCTACAATATCACAGCTTGGCTCGCTTACATCAAAATGAGTAGGAAGCTGTTTCTGCTCAAAACAATCAAGTTCATGCAAACCCGGGGACGACGCTAACAGCGAATTTCAAAAATTCAACATAATACTGTGCTAATTCTAATGAAGTTTCTCATCAACCTTCTGGTTCTAATGAACACAATTTTTTGGATGGATGGCTGCTGTGCTTTCCAGCGTAAACAGTTTAGATTAATGGCAAAGCCAGGACTTGTTTGATAATGGACTTAATGTCTGTCAGGTAATTACTACCATCACAGAGGCACATGGATGCCATTAAAGAGCCTATCTGAACTCTCTGATGACATCAGATTACGAGCTTTCAATCGCAAACTGAGAGTGTGTGTGTGTGTGTGTGTGTGTGTGTGTGAGAGCGAGAGAGAGAGAGAGAGAGAGAGAGAGCGAGAGAGAGAGAGAGAGAGAGAGAGAGAGAGAGAGAGAGAGAGAGAGAGAGAGAGAGCGAGAGAGCGCGAGAGAGAGCGAGAGAGAGCGAGAGAGAGAGCTGGGGCAACTGCTACACATCATTAAGCACAAAAAAGGGTAGAAAGCTGCCCGATGGGGGCAGGCTGTAAATTTAGAACTTCGCCCCCTTTTCATTAAAGCTAAAGGCTTTTGGGTTTTTCACCACATAAAAATCGAACCCCTCTCATAGCCAGAGTCGACAATTAGGGCCTACCACTGCACCCTCAGGGCGGTGGAAAAGGGGACGAGGGACCCTGCTGGGCGTTTTCACATTTTGTGTGGTCAAGAGAGCTTTCACCAATATCCCACTTGTACGCAGCATGTATGTTTGTTTTTATTTTTTCTCAATACACCACAAAACTGCACCTGGCATCATGCTGCCTCTTTTGGGGCAGATGAGAGGATTTTGAATGCAACTCTGTCATTTCCCTTCCAAGCCAGTCAGACCTGCATAGACTAGAGCCAAAGCCATAAAACGCGGCCATTGCAGTCAGGCTGCCTGTTATTTCCTCCCTGCTCCAGAGGCCAGTGATGAATGTGTGCACATTTCTAGGTGACTATTAATAGGAGCCTGTAGAGGCCTGGGTGTGTAGAGATGAGAGGCTGCTTGAGTACTGCTACTTTACTACAGGCAGTGCAATACAGGCCTTAATCTTCCTTCGCCTCTCTCTCTCTATGCACCTCTTCATTTCACTCCCTATCTCAGTCTGTAAAAGAACAAACTAAATGCTGAATGGCTGGTCAGCTGGTCAACCACAGACCAGCCTATAGTATTACACCGCCCATCAAGAGTTTGGGGATGCCTTTACCCTTTTTGAAATTTTAATATAGTCGTAGTTAGAATTCAGTTAAGTAAAAGTAAATATCGGAAAAGGTTTTGTTAACATAAACATACTGCAGTGGATACTGTGACATAGCTAGATACTAACCCTTCATCAAAGTATCTTCTTTGTTATGAAAAGTATACTAGGCCTAAATGATTTAACAGTTTTTCAAAATTTTGGAAACTACTGTTAAAAGTTCATTTTGAAAATCTTGTGGCCCAAAGGCGGTTTAAAACACCTAAAATGTTTGAGCACTGATTAGTGCTGATATCACAACAAGGTGATAACATGTATGGGGTATGTTGTCACAAATATATCGCTGCTGTCAGACCAAAACCTTGTATCTTCATTTTAGTCTTTGACATAATTTGAAAATACCTACTGTCCTTTATATTGTGTGTAAATTTCAAGATGAATGGACCAAAAGTAATGGCCCTGAATTACCTGGAAAAATGTCTGGTTCCGTTGACTAACATTACAAGGTAAAGTATGTTTTTCCTTCTCCTGTAAAGTTACCATTCATCATTCTGTTCAAAAACCTTGTCAGTTACATGAACTTCCACTGAACGTTACATATATATATGTTTTTCTTGTATTTAATTTTTCCCTTGAGGTCTACTTATAACATTTGTGTGGTTCTATAAACCAATAATAGTAATAATTCCTTTTTACATGAGCATTTTCCAACCTGCCTTTGTCCTTTACACTTAAACAAGCTGTTTTTGTTACTGTTCTGATTTGCTGCTTAGAACTTCACGGTTAATGGGCCAGGCTAAACTGCTGTAGGCTGAATAAGTGGATAAATAAATTAGTTGTTTATTGTGAAATCACAGAAACAATGAATCCATGGGTGTTTTTTTAACATAGTTTCCATATTTGGACTGCATGGACTGTTGAGCTCACAGTATCTTTTGAAACTTCATTTCCTTTATTTAAAAAAAAACAATCACAAGACAAATACGGTTTTCCTACGGTTTTCTTCTCCTGTAAAGTTACCATTTTGAAGATATGAGGTTTTGGTCTGACAGCAACAGTATGCCTTTGCAATAAATAAATAAATAATAAAATACATGCTCATTTGTATTAAAACATTTCGAAAAATGTACTGCAAACTTTTGACAGGCTGTGTATGTCCTCAGGGTGAGTTCAGAACACAGAGGAGACAAAAATGTGTGAAAACTGTAAGTAGCTGGCACCGCTAAGAATCAGGATGGTGTCCTGGGGGAGATGGGTAAAAATGGGTAATAAGTTCAATGACCCTGTTCCATCATAAAGGACATCCTCCAGAGAAACACCATCACAAACAGACACATTCACTGCAGCGAGAGCTCAGGCATGTCTGGAGTCGTCTCTGCTTCCTCTGCGAGTCATGAGAGGCACTTTCCCATCGCAGCAAAACCGATGTGAAGAACTGCTAACAATGATAAAAGCTTTTATACAGCCCTCTGAGCAGAGGATGCTGTGCTGAGACAATGGACCACAACAGGAAGCCCTTCCTTAACACATTCTCTTTTCTTCCGTCTAGGCACCGGCTACTTACCTCGCGTGCTTGTGGCCAGGTCGGCCACTTTCTGAAAGGCGTCCAGGAAAGTAGCCACCGCCACCACCGTCGTCCTGCGAACACAAGCAGAAACAGAAGCTGGTCAATTGTTCTGCACCCTTATCTGCAACCCATTAAAACACACACGCACATGCACACACTCACACACACGCGCCAGGGCATCTGGTCATTTGCTATGCTTGGCCTGGGTTCAGGAACTTGTCAGAGGTGGCTTTGTTGTTTGAGGAAAATTGTCAGGACGGTGATAGGAGGGGTGTAGGTTAATGGTTATTTAAAGGCAGTTCATTTCTTTAATGACTGCACTGAATGCTTAGTTCCTTTGTGTCGGCTTGTCTCTTTGTCTGCCAGCTGCTTAGAGAGCCTTTAATGACCTCCTGTAGCTCCATAATGGGTCCAGATAAAGTCTTTGCAGACACAGCACCGGGTTTGATATGGAGGAGAAAGAAAAAAGAGAGGAAAAAGGGGAGAAAAAAGTCAAGGAGATGAGTGGAACTACAGGAATTCCTCTTCCATAGCTGGAACGCCCGTCAGCAGCGGAGAGAACGTGAAATCCGATCTTGTGTATCCACAGTGGAGAGGTCATGTGATGAGGCACGCCAAGCACTCGGACGAGAGTTGGAGCACGAGCCGAGGTCGCCAGGATCAGATTCGCCTCCAGTGAGCGTGGCGCCAAAGGCAAAACAGACACCTTACCCACAAGCACGCTACCATAGTGCTACACCCTGCTCTCCACAACGGCATGATTTGATCATCACATGCCCAGATCCACAAACAATGCCTTGTGTGAGTAACAGAACAGATAAAGATGAAATTGCTGACAGGCAAGACCCAAAAAAACAAATCCACCCAGAGGAAAAATTTCAACATCTTTTAATCTATACTTGTTTTTCTTTTCTTCCTCCTTTATCACCATTTATCTAGGCCTCTAGTCCTATATCTTCCTTTTTTGGCTCCAAACAAAATGTTCCACAGTGAGGCCTGTTGTTGACTCCGAGAGTTCCACACGACTTATCGTATAACAAACAGCGTGTTTCTAATCAACCTAACATCGTTTTAAAAGCCCCCACGCTGAAGGGAGCAGTGTGAAGTTAAAAGTGTGCTTCTCTCTGTGATTAAAACACATAAACAATGCCACATGATGGACGAAGAAAGCAAAAACCCTACACATTCCTCTCTAATATTAGACTGAGAACAAGGAGGAGGAGATGTTTGATTGTTTTTACCTGCACAGTCTCAAAACACAATAAATAAACTGCTGGCTTAGTTTGGCAAGAAAAGGAGAAATAACAGAGAAATCCGCTTACTAAACCTTTGCAAACGTGGTCGTGTCAGTCTAACGCGTAGCTGATCAAACTGGTAGTAAACATTAAAAAAGGAAAATGAAAAAAGAAAGACCAACACAACCAGCTACGGAAGCAGCTGCCTTGCAGATTAGACGGGCAAAAAGGCAAAAACAAACCAATGGACGGTCTGGAGGACACGCTGGTTTTTCAGAAATGTCATGCTGGTAAGATCATACAGGAAAAACACACTAGCTACTTTAACCACAAAAGACAGCGATGGCCAGAAGAGCTGTAATCTTGGAGCAAAACATCTTAGCTGCTTTGGAAGAGGAGACACAGGCTAAATTACAGAGCGTTTGAACTTCATTAGCCAATTCCCAACAGGCAGCTCCAACTAGTGATCACAAAACAAGAGCAGAAAGGCTGACGGTTCAGCTGAACCCAGACCTAATCAACACTTCTGCTATCTTCAGCATCTGAGCTTTAAAAGGATGTTGTGTCTCCTTTGAGCTACACCTCAAAAAAGACATTTTATTTGGAAAAAAGTAGAGGCTGTGTGTGTTAACTGTGTTAACTCTCTAGAACTCTCTGAAGTCCCATCGCTCTGCACTTTTTCAAGCCTCCCCCAACATAGCGCACTACATAGGCTATGAAATAAGGGCTTTTACACCCATACAATGCACTGAAAGCCCCAAATGGAGCCATTTGGGATTCAGTCACTGAGACTCAGACCCCTGTGTTCATTAGGAACCAGACAAATGAGGTGTTCAATTTCACTAAAAGCAACATCACAGGAAGTTATAAGACAAAATGGTTATAAATAAGTTAACTAATTCCTGAGACACTGTTTTACAACGCTTTTGAGATAAGCTTTTGGACTAAATGTTTTTTTTTTTTTATTATTCATTCATGGCAGAGAAGTATATGCAGGGAACTAGAAGGTAAAATAGTTCCCAAAGAACATTTCTATTCAGATTTACTACTATTTAAAATCTCATCAATACTACATATAAAACTCAGAAGACATGTGTAGGTTGACTGGTCATTTTGCATAGCAAATATCATGGCTATTTCAATGTTTACCATTAACTGCCTAGACTGTGGCAGCCCACCATAGTCTAATTTGTACCAAAAATATTGTCACACTTTTTATAATAATAAATAACGCTGTGTTTTGCTCCATTGCTTCGGCAAAGCATCTCTCACTACCAATCACCCACACACTGGACTGTCTTGTCACCTGGCTATATATATGAGGCATTATGAGGTCACAACACCATTTGATTTGAGTCAGTAATATTAACTCTACAGCATCCACTGCAGTCATCCACCAGTCCAAACAAAATCTTATTGTTATCAATATAAGACAGCAAACAGATAAAGTCTATGCAGAAATTATCATTGATAAGCAATGTTAATCTAACTGTAGCTTAGTTAGAGAAGGTTAACGCCTGTGTGTCTGACTCTTGTCTCCTCACCCTAAAACGATGCACTGTTGGATTTGCAAAGTTTTAGCTTGTTTCTGAGACGGAAAAGTCCGAATCAATGCTGGTTATACATCTAGTGGTGTATTTTTGTGATCCAAAATATGACTGCATGCTCTGACCAGAGCTACTGTGATATTTCAGAGTTCTGAGATGTGATTCTTTGTCGTGGCCAGTGCGGCACATGCTCTGACAACGTAACTATTATCAGCCTCTGAGAGCAAGCTGGCTCTTCATGTAATGCTAGGCTATTTGTAATGTTAACTAATCAAGCTGAAGTATCGGTAACTAATCAAGCTAATCGCCACTGCTGTTTTAAGTATAATGTTTGTGCTATGTATGCTATGTATGGTCTAGTTTTTTAGTTTTGACCATTTGTGAACTAAACTCCTTTACCATGCTTTGTGGGAATGACCTTTCATACCCATACAACCAGTGTGTTTATGCTCAAATTACTAAAGCACAAAACTGTTTACAAGGTCTTCATAGAGCTAACCTCTTAATTTTGCTCTAAAAGTGCATCAGATTGATGCAATCAACTTTAACATATACAAACAATAGGGTCTGACTGAGGTCCATCAACCATAGTCTAACAAAATCCTGTGGGAAACACTGTATTTATGTTGTAGACATTGTGATAGTTGGTTTCTGTCACCACCACTGTAAAGAAATTTGAGTAGTAAATTTCTCTATGATGAAGCTTTTCATGTCAAACCAATTTGAATGACTTGGTTTACATCTTGAATGAATTACCCAAAAATGTGAAAAATCAGTCTCCATTCAGGTGCTTGTTGGAAGATACACCCACAACATGGAAAAAGAAAGTATGGAGGTTCTCCTAATTTTTTTGCTATATTAGACAAAAAAACAATGTTTGCACTTCAGTTATGCGGAAACAAGGTATATTTTTTCCCTGTTCTTTGGCAAATGTTTGCACATTTCACCAGCGGGAGAAGTGGACAATTATATGTCACATCTCATAAAAACTCATCCAGAATCTGTGCATCTCATTTAATTAGCATTTTGTAATTACCGCATTGTTGTAGTCAGTTTCCCAGTTTCTGTCAGCACTCTAACGCAGTCTTCCTGCTCTAACAATTTTAACCTGATGGCATCCTTCACAATATGCTGATCAGGTGTGAATCAGATGTGTTAGAGCAAAAAAAAACAACAAAAACTGCCACAAGAGAGAATCCAGGACCAGGATTGAGAAACACTGGCCCAAACAGTCTAGCAGGCAGTCTGTCACAGATAACTGTACAACGGCTATAGCCTTCCTCTTCATACTGAATCATTTCATACTCATCAAACAGACCTGTTTGCACAATGAGGGCTCGTGTATTTGCCACTCCTTGTGCAAACTGAGTGAGCGTCATGAGTGGGTGAAAGTTAATCAACGCAAAACAAGGCTTTGAGGATCTAGAAAGCGTCTGTGGGAAGATCTGCTTATTAGAACATTCTGACTTTAGAATGTGACAGTGAATTAAGGCCTAAGATGCATGGCCCTGAAAACTTTTAATGAGGCAGCTAAGCTGGCTGGATAGCGTGACATTTGATTAGATGATGATTAATCCAGATGTGTCAGGCAATCTCCGTTTCGTGACAGACTACATTTTGGATATCACATGGCTTGTGAAAACACCCCACATCCACAGACACTGACCACAGAAAGCAATCATGGTAATTTCCAGAAATATCCCATCATTATAACTGAGTGACTTTCAGCCTCCGAGTCATAACAGTGTTTAGGGAACATCCTGGAAAAGCGATTCATGTTGATACCCTTAAATGGATATTAAATTCTATATAATACTTTGAAAACATGGACACGTAAGACAAGAGATTATTCGGACTAAAAGTCCTTCATGACCTAGATCTCCCAAATTTAAGGTCTAACTGCAGACTGACATCAGGTTACAGAGGAGGGAATGAAAGCCACCTCAGTTCCTTCCAAGAGAGTTAAGCCTTGCTTGAGTTTGCCTCATCTGTGAAGATGTATAAAAGCTGTATAGATATAAGAGCTGTAAATTGTACAGTGTTACCAGGCACTTTGAAATCCTTACTTTGTAGGTCCCAATCAGGGACTATAGCCCATCTGTTGATGCACAATTTGGTAGTCTTCTAGCTAATGCTGTAACAATTTTGGGACAATAGTGTGATTTTTATGACCAATATTCTTACTGTAATTTAAGTTGTGATTATTTTCTAGAAATTAAAGGTCCAGTCCTGTTTTTTGGCCATAGAGAGCAAAATATCCCCTTTTTCTAGCTTGAATTAGGCTTACACGCTGAATGTAGTGACCAGACTGCCAGTTAGTTGTGGTTATGTCATCACAAAACTTGGGTGTTTGGTTGATTCTGATTGGTCTAACTTATCTACAGGCACTTCATGAGGTTGCGATTTGAAAATTGCCCTTTAACTTCGATATTGAACATCAAATTTTTCCACTCTACTTCTAGCCCTTCATCAATGGTCAGATTCTGACTACAGAACCACTCTTGGCTGGATATATCTTGGTGGCAGACCACTCTCAACTTAGCAGCATGTAAAAAACCCAGCAACATCACTGTGTCCGATACAGTCAACACTTGATACAGTTTCAACACTTCATTGTATCATTATAACGTCTGACAAAAGCTATGTATTATGGCAGACAGCAAGGTCATTATCATTAAATCAGATCTATCAACAGTAACTAAATTACATGTAAATTAACCAGCATTACCCTGCTTGACTTATAGTCTATTAATAAAACTGGTCTAGCATGACAAAAATCAATCATCCGAATCAATTCTGGAATGACTAATCAGCCCTCTCCGCTCTCACCCAATATATTACAAATGCCATTGCGTTTGTTTTGAGTACTAGAAAAGTAACCACGACAGGGATGCTTACTTTTTCCCCTGCACAAATGCTTGATCCTTTACACTTTACACATTTCAGCCTAATTCTCTATACTAAAGTCTTAAATTCGGACTAGGGAGGTAAATGATTTACAGATTAACCATAAACCTATAAATATATAATGACCGATGCTATTGGTAAAAACAAAAAAAACAAAAAAAAAACATTAACTTTATTTAATTTCCAGTAAACTATATTTCGTACTTAAATGGATGAGCTCATCATTCAAGTTGAGGAACGTTTTAGAATTGTAAGCATGAGGGCACAACTGGCAATTGGTTCCAGTGGATAGTCCTACTAAAAATGAAGCGCTTGTCACACAGACACCATGCACTAGTAGTGTAACATGGCTGTCAATACAACGATTTTCATTTAACGTCCTACATACAAGACAAATTATGCACTCTTTGTCATGAAACATACTTGGTCAGCATTCTTTAAGTATGGAAGATATCCACAATATGCTCATAAAAGCATGTTGTGTATCATAATAACGATAAAATATCATATTGCCCACCTCTACCTAATCCTGGCTATTAAAAGTAATTCTTAAGTTGTTTTTGGATCATTGCTAGTAGAGGTATAAAGGCTGTTATTGGCAAGCCTGAAAGAGCAATCAGGCACAATCATCTTACCTGAGCTGAGACTGCAATTTTCCTGCTTTGCTGACGAAGTCTTCCCAGACTGGATAACTGCTCTGTGGACACACAAACATAAGACTGATCAGTTACTGCAGCTGCTGAATGTTTAATAACATGTTAACCTCAACTGTCTAATGAAATTACTTAAAACACAGACAACATCATAAGAGCACTACACAACTTCACATAACATCTCATTTAGCATCCCAAACACACTCCAATTCCTTAAAATAGAAGCTTAAGGTCCAATGACCATGACTTGCTGACAATTTTAGAGTTGAAACAAACACAAATTCTAGTTCTAGATGCATTCAACAGCCAGCAACTCAGTTAAACATACTGAGTCTCTATATGTTTAATTATAGGCAAACAATAGTATAAGAATGGAATACGGCCCATGACTGGATAAAGTTTTATTCAGCTCTTAAAGAAAGAACAACTGCTTATACATAATAAAGTTAAAATAAAAGCTGATTCCAACTTTTCCTTTGGAGCTCCTTAACAAGAGGGAAGATGGTAGGCACTGGCTGTTTATGCCAGTGACTTCAGGAATGTAAGGCCATGCAACTCAATCTGCTTAAGGTGAAAGAGAGAGAGACAGAGAGACAACCGGCCCCCTAGGACAAGCCTCTTTAGTAAAGTGATTTGACTTTTCCATTGGCTGCTGACCTGGGAACAGTTCAGCATCTATACACAATGTAAGGGCTAAAACTTGTGAGCTTATGCTATAAGGATTTCAGCAGGATTTAAATTTGTCTTATATAAAGGTTAAATTACTTGGTGAGAAGAGGGGCCTGCATAAAGGCAAATTAACACAATATAACAGAGCAATAAGGACAGAGGGACATCTGATCCTAGATCAGCCCTCTTAGTCTCCTATTCTTTACGAATGCAGGCCTTGGAGGCCTTTGCGATTGCTGTTGAATATTTCACGGGCCTGGAAAGTTTACTCCCTGCTGGGTTACAAAACAATGGAGCAGCTCAACACAACAGTATGAAAGGGCTGCATCACTGAGCCATTTGATTTTGTTCTTTTCCATTCAGGTTTATCTTTGTTTAGCTACATCGAGACTCTTAAGCATTGGTACACGATGCTCGTATTCACCTGATGCTGGAAAAAGCTAAAGACATCATATGACCATCAAACATGTCTCAAAAATAAATACCATTCCTATAATTTTCAACAGCAAAAATGCACAATAATGAACTTTAGAAGTGTAGCAAAGGTTTAACAGGAGGAAAGTTTGGACACTACAAGAAGTTACAAACTCCTGAAGTCAACTAGCAGCTATAACTTAATGTTTTCAGCGCTGAGCTTAAGTTCACCCAGGGTGATTCATTCACTGACCTGCATACATAAATCCCACTGTTCATCATTAAACAAAACAACTCCCATGCAAATATGATTAACTTCACCAAATGCCAGCCACGATGCTGACTGGCTCCGATGGCAACTGCCATTCCTCCCAGTTTAGCTCCGTCCACGTGTAGGACTTTGGAGACCTTTGAGCTCAATGGAATTCCAATACTGGTTCCCTAATTGACCTTTAACAGGTGCATTCAAACACCAGAATGCGTGAAGGAAGAAACGCATTGTCGATTCCAGAACATGACAGCAAATTCAACCCTAACATGAAAACCATATTTCTAGCCATCTGGCTTTTTTCTTGTTCTACAGCAGCATTTCCCAGTCTGGTCCTTAAAGACCCCAGAAGGTCCCCATTTTGGGTCCATCCCAGCACACCTGTTTCAGATATACAGCATTCTTCATTGATTGGTTCAGGTGGATCAGGAGCTGGATGGAGCAAATTTGTGAACTGACTTGTGGTCTTCCTGTTGGGCACAATGAATTACACCGTAACACAACTAGGAATGGTTTATCATTTAGTTACTTTATCTGAGTATTGATAGATTTTTTTTTTGTATTTCTATCCACGATCAGCACCAGACTAGAAGCTGGTCAATGTAATATGACCTGAAATAAAAATAGGTCAGTATTTTTAGCATCTGTCTATAATAAAATATAAGTATATGAACCAGAAGTGAGGAGACCTAAACCATCTGCAAGTAATGAATTATAGGTTCTGGGAGAAGCAAAAATAGCTACCAAAACCAACTTGAGTAAAAAGTAACAGATCAAAGAACTCCTTCTAATCTAACATGAAGCAGCAAAGTAGTCTGGGTGCCGAACCAACAGAAAACAATGAATGAAAAAATAAAAACCCTCACAAATACATAAATACATAATTTTTTAAACTTAGGCACACAGAACTGAGTAAACAAACTAGTTACTACTCAATCCTGGACTTTAACCAAGTACACTAGAGAAATATGGGAATGCTGTTCATGGTCAGAAGGTCAAAGTGAGCAATAGCTATTAATATTTTAGTCCTTCACATATTGCCCCTAATTCCTTTTCTGGGTTCAGTTTCACACTGTTGTGTTGGTTCAGAACCTGGACTGATTTGCTGTTGCTCGCGTGTGTTTAGCATTTTGAGCCAAAAAAGCTCCAAAACAAACTTCAGGGCTTATACTAATAGATACTGGATGTACTGAGAAGTTCCACTTAGCCAGAGTTTTACAAGGGACACAGTACTTAAAGTTCAACTCAAGTTGGTTTGTTGGTTTTTATTTTTGGCAATCTTAGTTGAGTATGAGTTTCGGTTCTTCCACAATCTCTGCATACTGTATGACTGATAAAGGGGAAGTCCACTGATTTCTCAAAATTTCTGTATACTTCAGTTGGTGAGATGTAAACCAAGGCATTCACGCTGGTGTAATGTGAAAAAGTTCATTGTAGAGAAACTTACTGATGCAGATTTCCTTACAGTGGTTATAGGAATCAGAGATCAAAATGTCTACAACACAAATATAGCCATTTTATCTACTATCCAAAATCACCAGTGAACCTACACACCTTCTGAGCTTTTCTATGGAACGTTTGCAATCGTAAAATAGTGATAAAGTGGGGAAAAAAAGTTTTCTTAGGAGAATATATCGCCTTATAACACCTTGCAAGTAGCTCTGTGCCACAAATGGATTAAAAAATACATTTAAGGCAAAAATCCTATCTTAAAACTATCGTAAAACAATGTCTCAGTCATAAGGCAGCGTGTTCATAACCATTTCCATGTACTAATTTTCTGTGAGGGAGCTTTTAGAGGCGTTTAAAGCTTCAGATGTCTGGTTCCCATCACCACCACTGTGAACAATTCTGATCCTCTAGAACCGAGCATTTCACTTAATTTTCATTTAATTAGGCAGAACTTTTTAAAAATCAATTGAATTCCCCTGTAAACCCTGGCTTTACGTAGCTATACAGCCTTGTATGTTTCACTCATCCCCTTAGTAACCAAAACGATCAAGACAGAGCAAGTTAAACAAGCAAACAGTTGAACATTTCTTCACGGCTGCCCACAACCAGGCTACGTTAACCAAGTAAAACTAAACTAGCCAGGTAGCTTAAGGCTTAAAAATAAAAAGAGAAGCGCTAAGAAAAAAAAAAACATAACTAAAGAAATAGACTAAAGGTCAAACAGGACTGGGCTTTACCTTCATGTCAGCGATAATGGTTTGAAAGAGTCCTCCGAGGGCACTGCACTCTTTTTCTATTACAGCCTCCATTTTTTTGTGTCCCCAAAAACAAGCTAGTGGTACAAATAAAACTACAGCTCTTCTCCTTTCCAAATAGGATGAAAATGGGTAGTTTTCCAGTCGGTTTCTGACTTTAATATCCGGCAAGGCTCAAAAACACAAACCCCCTCCAGCCACTGTATCGCTATGAGGCGGTGAGTGAGCTACAGAAAACAGTGGACTGCAAGACTCAGAGCTCCCTCTCTTTTCCACGACGAAAACATTTCCATAACTCCGTTTTAAGAAGCATGACTGATGTCAGTCCACGGACTTCAAAGCCAATGATTTAAAAAGGAAAGCTTAAGTAAAGAAAAGATACTCTGAAGAGGTTCAAACAAGTAAGAGCCCTTTTCGTCCTCCTCCGTCTGCTGCAGATAGTAGCAGCTGCTGCTGTGGCAACGACGTAGAACCCAGGGGCGGAGCTATGGCCGTGCACGTTCCCTTAGAAGTGAGCACCCGCGTAATGAAGCCCCGCCCCTCAAATGTTTAGTGTAGGGTGTGTCTCAAATCCAGCCCTAGTGCGTTGGGAATTACTACCTAGGGGACGAAGGTAAACCACTTGATTAAGCAATAACGGAGACTAGATTTGCTGAAACATTAATGACACTTAGGCCAACTGTGACACGACTTAACAGAAGCTAAGTCGAGCCTGTGTTTTTCCCGTAGTGAACCACTATCTAGGGAACGACAAAGAGTGCAACTTTGGAGTATTTCACAAAGCAGGATTTCTCAACCTCAGTTACCCAGCTGAAGCCAAAGAAGGAGAGGTCATGGACATTCGTCTTGGACAATCTTCACTTTTGATTTTGGCTATTAATCTTACTTATTTTGCTATGTGAAATACCCCCCCATATGTACTGGAACGCTGGGACACTCAACATTGCCAGAAAACCTATGACATCAGGGTAAGCAAAGAGTGTGTCTTAAGTCAGCCACTTGTTCTGTATGTAGTAGACTAACTAAGAGTTCTGCCACTTTAAAGGGTGCCCAGTTTATTTTTACTACATGGGTGTCAGTCTTAATTGCAGTCTTAACCATTTAGTGGTTTAGTCCACCAGTGTCTCTCCTTCCACAAGCGCAGCGCTTCCCAAGAGCCTCCTTGCGTGGCCGCTCTGCATGGCCAGGCCTCGCGTGCTCTCATGGCAACATGAACCAGTAGCAGGATACTACATAACCCCACCCCAAAGGTCAGCCACTCCGGTGACCTGACAGAGGTCGAGCAGTCCCTTCTTAAAACATTCCCATCTCCTCTTCGGAGTCTCTCCAGACTGAGTGCTGCATCCTTCTCCTCTGCACAGCGGAACTCCTCGCAGCTCGCAGTGTCAGTTCTTACACTAAGGGGGCAGTGACAACAGCAGCAATGCTCCCTCGGCCACACTCCCTTTCCTCTGACGTGCATCGTACCATAGACAACAATGTTGGTGCTGCTCATGTGTCCAGGAGACCCAACTCTCAGTCTTGGACATCCATGCCACAGGTCCTTGCCGGCTGCCATCCTCTGGCCGGGCTCCGCTACACGGCTTCTGTCATCTTCGCTGCCCATCTTGGCCGTGCTGCTTCTTCTTCTGTAGTCCTCAGCCAGGCTCAGTTTTATGCGCTGTTTACCTTGAGTTTGTGAAACCACCCTTCCTCTCAAGTCCGCTGGGGGGCGCTATCCCCCTTTGACCAAATGGCCGTGACAGCAGGCAGGTTACTTCTAGCTATGCACTTTCTCCTGCTGACACTAACAAATGTACACATCTTTAAGCTTACCACAACAACTTATGTAAACATTAAAGTCTCTCCTGCTGCGGGCGTAGCACTTCCCAAGAGCCTCCTCACGTGGCCGCTTTGCATGGCCATGCCTCCCATGGTAATGCAGACCAATAGCGGTACACTACAATATGTTGGGTTTGAATACTGATATGCAGGTTAAGCAGCATGACCATGATGGGTGACCAGCTAAACCAGCACCAGTCGAGGTTCGTAGGATGTACATTTTCAATTCAAATGAAGATGCTGCCAAAATGCAAATCATGCTTTTATAAGCACCAGGAAAAAAAAAAAGAAGAAGAACAGCAAAAGCACAGAAGACAGTATCACCCAGTTTTTTAGAGGTAAGACTGGGTTATGAAGATGTGCTGGAGCTGTTAGGAAGCTTATGCAATAACTGCAGTTGTCAAATGGAAATAATGCAACAAGCTGTTTGGAAAACCTATCATATCCTACTGCAAATTTTCAGTGTTTTCAAGTCTTTCCCTCATAATTCAGCTTTGATAAAGTACGAATTAAAACCAGAGTATCTCCATTATTCCACCACCAAAGTTATAATCTACAGTTGGATAAATAAGTATGTTTGTGGAGATTTTAGTGGGTTTAGTGGGGAATGATGTGTCTGTCCTATACTAGACAAAAACAACTCATTATGGAGTTTTGCTTTGCTTTTGAGAATAACATTACAATTTTGGCAAGCTGAATACAGTATTGTGGCTTCAGTGTAGAAGGAGATGTCAGGAGAGGCCATTATTACTGCCTCAAGAAGTGCTTTTTTATGTACGCAAGCAGAAAAGCACATGTAAACACAGCCGGGGAGCTGGAAGGTCACTTCTAGCCATACATTTCCTGGTAATGCTAGATACACCAACCTTCTATCTCACCCAAGCCCAAAACAAAATAACACAATCAGCACATACCACTATTAAATTAAATAACCACACAAAAACAACAATAACAGCAACAACTGTCTCTGTTAAGGGGGGCTGCAAAGCATGCAGCGCAGCCCCTTGAGGAGCATGTGGTAGACGCCACATGCCTCCCCCAAAACGTCAGCTGCCCCAGCAACCTGTATGGTCCGGACCAAGTTCTTAGGGCACGCAGAAGCTCGCTTGCTCCTCAGCAGCAAGAGCACCAGGTCCTCGCACCGGGCTGCTTCCTTGCCAACACGTCTCCTCTGTGCACCCTGCTCTGGGTGTCGTCCTCTTCTGACCCTGGTGGGCAGCCAAACTGCAGCTATCTGGGCATCCTCTCCATTGGTATGCTGGAAAAAAGAGACAAGATAACTCGGTGTCCTCCTCCTGAGCAGGGCGGGACTCCTTGCAGCTCACCACATCAAGTTCAGTGCTACTGGTTAAGACGACAGCAGCAACGGCACTCCTCTGCCGGCCATCTTATGCACTGTTGACGCTGGTGAGAGTGCTGCTTGTGAATGTTGCCCCAACTCTCTGCTTTGGATGTGCCACTAGCCGACGTGATTTGCTTCCTGAGATTGAGCAAGGCCTCAGCCACCACTAAGCCGAGTATGCACGTATCCCATATAAGTGCGAGTCAAAACTCATGTACTCGGCTCAGAGCCCAAACAGCGGCCGATAGCTGCTTTTTCCCCCCAGGTGGACCTGGCCACCGGTGACTGACCTGAGCTGGATGTTGGTCGCCTCCCAGTCATCTGATGTGCTTCTCTCGGTGTGTAAGAGCATGCTTGGTCATAGCAAGGACATTAACAAGCCCATGTTGATAAGTATTGATCTGTCTGCCGTTTATGCTACACTTCACTCAAAGCCCACTGTGACCATTGATTCTCCCGGCTGGCTTCTGTTTCCCTACTGGCTCAGGTTTGTGAGCACACCAATTGCGGCGCCGCCGCTGTTCACTCAGTGACCATGTGGCACGTATGCTCCTCCTAAAGCTCCTCCACCAGCTACTGTAGCGCGGTAGGTGGTGGTACGCCATCTCTCTCTCACCAGGCCTCATCCAGGCTCCGTCTCTGGCTGCCGTGCCATGCCGTCTTCTGCCACCGGACCGTCCACCGGCTTCTCTTTCAGCATCTTTTTCTTTGCAATCCACCTGTAAGTTCACTGAAGTGCCTTTCCACCTTTTGTCACTTGGAGGTGCTGTCCCACTTCTGACACCACTGTGGCATTGGCATAGAAGGAGGTGAGGGAGAGACCATTACTTTTGCCACAAGAACTGCTCTTTTATTTACAAAAGTAGAAAATGCACATACAAACACAGCCAGAGAGCGGGCAAGTCACTTCTAGCCATACGCTAAACCCCACTATCTTATCCAAGCCCAACTAACTAAACAACGACAATAACTGCAACCATTGACCCTTTCATCAAGGTGGGGGTATTGGATTGTAGGGTGTAGCCTTGCATACCACGCCTCTAAAGCCCCTTTTGAAATGTGAAGCGTGTGGCAGCACAGTATATTGATATGCTATCTAAATGCTAGTATTCATGACTTGTTGCATGCTAAAGACGACAGCTGGGAGAAAGTAAGAGTTTATACTATGGAGTTATAACAAAATAAGGTTTTTAGGAAAATTTGAGCCCTTTTAATGTTGTGGCGGGTTCCGTTAAGGCAAAGCAGGTGAGGCAAGGGGCCCAAAATTACTACTGGCCCAGTAGTACATGCAGGAGGGCCGAAGCATTGGCCTGTAATTATGTTTATCCTTTACTTCTGTGTTTCCAATTGCCGTCCTTGCATCTCTTTTAGAGTTTACCTGCTCTAACACACCTGACTCAAATAATCAGCTCTTTCCCAAACCAATAATTAGGTTAAAAGAGCAGAAAACTTTAAAAACATGCTGAGCATGGGGCTCCAGGAGAACTGAGACACTGCTGAAGTTATGGGTGATTAGAGACTAGTGAACTGAACAAGGCTATACATAATAATAAATGAATTATACTGAACTCTGAACACTGATACTTGTTCTGTTTTCTTCCAGTATGAAACATCATGAATATATGAGTAATTTGTTTGCATGTAAAGACACAATCTAAACTTAATCCATGTCATTTTCTGCAGATTTCTGTGAAATTGTAACTTCATTGGCACAAAGAGACAATGTAATATTATACCGTTGGACTAAATCTCTTTAGATCTTGGCGCCCCCTGGCGGTGCAATTCAGCATGTACAGGGTTGAAGTTGCTCCACTAGTCAAAACAATCCAGAAGGCAGCAGTGGTGGGAACAAATACAGTTTCTATTGCATTTTCTCTCCTACAGGCAAATATGCTGAAAAAGATAATGTTTTGCTCACAAATAGTTGCCTCAGAGTGAATTCATGCATTGCATTTTTTATTTGCTGGCCATCTCATCAATATTGCAGGTTTGTTAGTAAAAGCATAATTACAATAATTAAAAGGTCAGAATTCAATTTGATCGACTCCTTAAAATCCCAGGCTTACTGTATACTAAGGCATATTATTCAGTAACTACAGAGAGTTCAATGCAAACTATTGGAGCTATTATTAGGTTAAAGAAGTGTATGATAAAATTTTGGGCCTGCTGGTGGGCCCTGGCCATTTAAGGGGTTATAGAGGTTGCACAAGCAGTTTTATTCTAAATGTAGCTTTCTTTATTGCAGGTTATACCCAATTCATGATGAATACAGTGGATAATTATTTTCTTAGTGTAGAAGCAACTAGAAAATCCCTGGTTAA